GTTTTAGGGATTACATAAAGGAAATTTGAGATTTTTTTTAGATGAGGAAAAGTATCTTTAATTTTAACATGAAAATTACTTTGCACACAGACTATTCAACACAAATACTCAATATATTAATGGAGAAATCTTTATTTTAGTTTATTAAAATATTTCACTAAAAAATATGATTTTTTTGTATGTGAAAAATTTATAACATGAACTGAAAGACTGCCAAATTTTGTGAAGATATACACACTATATTGGATGTTAGGAGTATTAACAATGCCCTCCACGGTATTGAAACCTGGTTTTTAGTGGTATAACTCCATAGACATACTGCTGTGCCACTGGAGGGCTTATGCATCACAAATCCTAGCTTTAACAGTTAATAATTTAATGAATTTTACTAGTTTATCTCTAAAAAGATTTTACTGTACATCATTGTTAAAACATAGCTTGTAAAGTAACCTACTACCTCCAAGTAAATGCTTCTCTTTTTTCTAATTTAATTCAATCAACAGCTAAATGACCCTGATTCAAGTTCTGTCATTCATTCATCAAATTGTTTTCCTTAATTCTTAGGTTCATTCATTCTTAGCCTTGGCTGTTCCACTATCATTGTTTTATCAAAATAGTTTCCTTAATTCATTATAAGGTTTGGCTGTTCTACTATCATTGTTTTTTCAGAATGGTTTACTCAATTCTTTAGTTCCATTCATTCTAAATTTTGCTGTTTTTCTGCCATTTTTTTGTCAGAATTGTTTCATCATTTCTTTAGATCCACTCATTCTAATCTCTGGCTACTTTCCGGAAGCTGGTTTTTGTCCACTGTAATAACACATTTGAGTAAATTATATTGTTGAATGTTTGAAGGAGAATTAACTTAAAATTATCAAAATTCCTAGTCTAATGCTACTCGCCTTCTGATAGAACTTTCTGTATAAATCAAACAACACTTTGTATTGACATTTATATACTATTTAAGTAGACAGAGAAACACTATTTTTCACCTAGAAGTCCTCTACACTTCCCGGTAGGAAGTTTGAAAAACTACTGACACCATTATCCTTCTCAATATTCATTAATTTGGAGTAACTGCTAAATCCTGATGTGTAAGATACATGGAGCTACAGCCAGTATTTCTCTTTGCTGTCATAGTTCCTGCTTCTAAACCAGAAAAGGGAAGGACGTAACACGCAGAATAATAAATTGGATGAAGCATGAATACTTGATTATTTTAAACACTTCACTCGGTCATTTTACAAAATTTGGAAACACTGTTTTCCTAAATAAAAAATACAGAGGCTGAGTATGTTGTGTTAAAAGAATTTTGCATCCTCTCCACATTCTTACAGTTTAGGCAACCACAAAAAAAATTTTCTTTCTGATGACTGTGAATCATGAAAATAGTCATGCATTGTATTTTCTTTTGCAAAAGGCTCTGCCATAAGACTGTCATGTCGAAAGCACACCACTCCTCTATGTTTTCTCCATAAGCCATCTAGTGTATGAGGACAACAGTTTTGCAGCACCTGTTTCAACAGTCCAATCATACAGAAATCCACAGGTGCTGCATCTGGTAACATAATCAATATGTTCTCATAAGGAATAATGTAATTAAGCATTTTGTACTCCAGCTGCTTGAGGTATGTGATGGACAGCTTATGCTGCTTTTCCAGATGAAGATCCTCCTTGATCATGCTATATACTATTGCATGGGATACATGAACAGTCACTGAATTTTGTGTTAACCCTTTCCATATGGGTAGGAGTCAGGGTGCATGTCATCACGTTTTGTAGAATTACATTCAATATTTTATTAAATTATTATTTGATAAATACATGTCCATAAATATGGAATAAAACTATGGTTTAATTCAAATTTTAGTATTATACATTATTCAATTCCTTATTTCATAAGTAAGTATTAAAAACAAATTACTAAATTATCAATTTTGTGTGTGTCACATGGTCCATTGCCTTCTGCTTGTGCTCAGATTGTATTTTGGTCATGCTCTGATCACCACTCTTCAAACTCTCCAGCAGTTATAACTGATTTTCCTGCATAGGTACTTTAGAAAGACTGATAGTATTATGTAGTTCAAAATGAGCCTTTTGATTGGTTGTAAACACGTACTTATGGGGTATAGGTGTATATAAACAAGTATTTTCAAAAGAGGAATGTTTGGGTGGAGCCACTGTGGTGTGTTTGCTAAATATAATGATTTCTCAGCAAATAAAAAAGATAGGATGTTCTTACTTTATTTTGTAGCTTGTCAATAGTGGTAACTTGAGTTTCCAATTCGTTAAAAACAGTAGACTTTACATTTTATGGATATGCTGATCACAAATGAGATTTTTAGACCCAAATACAGCTTAGTTAGGAAATCTGATAAATTACAATGGAATTTTGTGGTACTGTTATAGTAATCTACAATTTTCTGTCAATTTCAAAATGCATATATAAAACCTACAAAAATTATATTTCTTTTACATCTTCTACGCATGAGTACAAAGAAACTATGTAACATCATAAGTAGTAGAGTTAATTTTTTCTATATATATTTTCTTTACTGTTCTATTTTTTAAGAAAAGTAACTGAAATTTAAGAATTTATTTCTAAATAGTAATAACATATATACACACGTAAAGTATGGTAACTAAAATATCACTATTTTACAAAATACTGGTGCACTAGTACTGGGGCTAAAATGAGTAAGACATTTGTACTTTGTAAAGGCAAATTTTATGCTATTTGATACAGTGATGTGAAATGCATGTGCACTTCATGATTTATAGCTTGTGTGGTGATAGTATTAGTTAGACACAGTTTAAAGATCAATAAGACAAAAGAATTAACAAATATAAAAACATGTATACTGTTACGAGATTTAAGCTATTTAGAATAAACATTTGTGGTTTCCTGTTACAATTTGCAATTATTCTAAAAAAAAGAAAAAGGGTAATTTAGATTTATTTCCTAACATTTTATGGCAGTTACCAGATCAGTCAAATAGATCAACCTTGCATAGGATTAAGCTTGAGAAAATAGCAGATAAAATATAAAGTGTTTCTAAAGAAAACATTTGATATTTACTTAGGAGGTTACATAGATTACGAAAATGAAATTTGAAAATTTTCAGATGAAGAAAGATATTTTTAACTTTAAAATCAAAATTACTTTGCATGTTGAATAGTTAACATTCTGGAAGAAAAAATTGACGAGCAAATCTTTAATTAAAGAAACCTTAGTACTTAATAAAAAAAACCTGATATTTTGTGTGTGAAAGCCTTGTAATGTTTACTGATAATCTATGAAATTATGTGAAGATACGCATACATTATCACAAGTTATAGTATAACCACTCCTATGGTTACTTTGAGAGTTGCATCTAGCCCCATAGTCAGAGTTAATGGATCCTCACATGTTACAAAATGCTGCATTTTGCTTACTGAGACCAAAGCAAAAATTGTTACAGGTCTCTTTCTGGATGGTCCTGGTGCCCCAAGCTGATTCATATTCCTTTGTTTTCCAATGCCATTGCATACAAGGGATTTCCCCATCTTGTAAACTATAAATCCTCAATCTGAACACATTTGTATGATCTGAGTGCATAAATATTATGTTTTAAAGGGCCATTACATACCCTTCCCAAAAATGATCAATTTTTGGTGCCATCACACTACCTAAAAAGCCACAAACACTGTCAAAAGTAGTTCAGATACAGGCCACTCCACTGTGACTTTATATTGGCTGTGGTTTCACATGACTTGATAATTTGCACATTCAAATAATAATATAATATACTCAACCCTCTGTACAATTGCAATGGGTTAGCTTGATCTGTTTCTCAAAATATAAACTTATTTGTTTTATAATTGTTTTACTGACAGTTTTTTAAATTTTACTTATTTACCTATTCTAAGGTCAAGTTCTCTGCGAACGTACACAGCATCATTCTGGCACTGGTCTGGTAGGACAAGATTCTGGCATGCTCGACTCACTGCTTGCTGGGTAATCTCTGAGAAACGAGCCCGATAAACCTGGATATTTGGTTTAACTAAACAAAAGTAAAATAAAGCAATGCGCATGAAAATTATAGTTATTCCCATGCTTTTAAAAATTATTTTTACAAATACAAACGTTAATATGTCATTAATTCATGTAAGATTCCCAGATACAAGTTATTTCATAAGTGGTTAAAAAATTAAAACTAAACATTTTCAAAGAATATATGCATCATTGTTAGTTCTGCAAACTATTCAAAATTTACAAAAATGTGTCCACATTGTTTTAACTCACCATTCTTACAAACTTCTATTATCTCAAAACCAATGTTTTCTCCCTCTCTGTCACCATCAGTCCAAATGATGAGAGTGTTGCAGCCTCTCACCTCTCTTTCAAGTGTCCTCTGATGGTGAAGATCATATACTATTTATTAAGAGCTTTCCCTCTCATCACAAATGGAAACATATATCAAAAAAGTAAAACTATTATTGTGAAATTGAATAAAATTTTCATTTGAGCTACAATACCACACCAAAATATTTAACCAACTATAACACAAACCACAACTGTATTTTATACCTTACAAATGACAAAAAATGTATTCAGGAAAAAGGATTAAAGTGTTACAAGAAATAAAATAAAACATATAATAATAAAAGACAATCACAAACTTAATTATATCACTGACCAATAAAATAAAAACTTGATCAATACTGTTACGTTTCTCTCACAATCTACAACTGATAAATAAAAGAACTGAATGATTAACCTGATACAACCAATTATCCATGAAGAACAATTACATTGATTAGTGTCATATAAAATAATCATTTAATTGAAGTTATGATTAAAATAAATTACTGTCATAAAAATATTCAACTAATCAAAGTTACAGTTTCCAATTGTTATTTTTTGTTATTCCAACTGTTCAAGTCTTATGTGAAAATAATCAATTACTGAGACCAATGATTAATCAATTATCAAATTCCATTAATTGCCCAACTCTAATAAATAATATAAAGTTCTGGTCGTATTAAGAGTGCCTTCCCTCTTTCACTGACAATGTTATAGATATACAACTTTCACAGTCCCTGTGTATTTTCAGACACATGCTTTAATATATATCTATTTATCTGAAACTTGAAACTGAAATTTGAATACAGAAAACTTGCTTGTCTGTGACTTGATGTGCAATGTATTCATTTTATCAATATTATTTTGATCTGCCTCCAACAAAAACCACAGAAAAAGTATTTCAAGAATTGACCATATAATCTTAGCACTGAAAAAGGAAGAACAAGAACCAAAAACTCACAGAAATATTCTAGAAATGTAAATCAAGCTTAGATGTGTGAACAGGAATTAAGAGAAGAGCAATATTACAACAGTCTTACTATATAAAGCCTCCTGCATTAATTAAGCATAAAAGTTTTCTTGATGTCAGTTTCAACATTTAGTCTTAAATTTCAGTGAACTTTCAAGGGTAGATTTCATATCACACAATACCTGGAACAACAAGCTTTACTGTTATACTTTTTCCTGTTGGACAAATCTTTTTTTCCCATCCTTCATTCTATTGCTAAAAAACACTAGAGGTAGGTTTCTAGGAAGCCACGTAACTTCCTGGAAATCTGAGATGCTAAAGTCTATCACATAATGAACATTTAAAAATGCATACCTCTAAACTTCAAACCAAAACTATATATATAAATACACATCTTCCTTTAATTCACTATATGTCACACACAAGTGATGAAAGCATTAAATTTAAATTAAAGCAAAAATATTACTATATTGCTTTCGTCTATAATAAGAGCCTAGTAAAGTTTGAATGCCAGATCTAGAAAGAGTATATAACATGATAAAAATTACAAGTTTTAGACTGATATACATCAAGTACTAAGTTAATGACCGCATTAAAGTAAACCATAATATATTTATCAATTCATGCATTCTACAAGCTTCGTTGTAAATACCTAATGAAAAAAGTATAAAAAACAAGAACAAATATATATAAAGAGCTCAGATGTAAAACACGGTATATGCCATTCCCAAACAAATTCAGCTGCCAATGGCATTATATTGATGGATATGCAGTATTTTGACTAAAAAAAAGGCCTACAAATATAGTTTTGTCTAAAAGTAAAATAGACTTTGTAAAATAAATAATATAGATTTTTAGGTTCTGTAAAGGTTTTGTTTACTAAATATCCCACTTTTGATTTCATTCATTTTATATATATACATATGTTTGTGTGTGTGTAGAAAAAAAAATTATTTCTTAAAATCCATTTCATCTATTTCCCATAAAAAAATCTAGCACTTGGCAACAGATAGAGAAAACTCAAAAAGAATCCATGTTTCAGTGTTTAACATTTTATGAATCAGACATTTTTTAAAATCATTTTACTTTTTATTTTTAATTTCATGAAGCAAAAAGGATTAATAACTAATTAATTGATAGTGTTTACTTTTAAATCATTAAAAGTTGCAAATATTGTGCATATACATATATTTGCTTTTTAAATTTACAACTCTGAATTGGAGCATCTTTCAAATTACATAAAGAGCAAAGTGGAAAACTAAAATGTAAATTATTTTATGTGAATGCAGGTCTCTACAAAATTCCTGCAACTTTACAAGTTTACAACAAAGAAAGATCTTAGCCTTCATCTTACTTTGATGTCAATATACTCTTGTGGACATTCTCGTGCAATTGGAGCCTCAAACAAAGCTAATGGATTACAACCATTCCTTAAAAAAAGTGAAAACAAAACTCATATTAATACATGATACGCACAAAGCGATTAGAACCATTTCACCAAAAAAAATTAAAAGAGTAAATATTATCCATTTTTAATATACTGCAAAAAATAAATACACAGGCTACACATTTAAACATGTCTATAATAAATGTAACCAAGTAATAACTTACAAATCATGTACATTTTGTAACATGTAGCCACAGAGTAATACATGTTTTTTGTTGTTTTTTTACCACAAAACACACTCAATCAGGGTGACTATTGACAACAGTTAGTGCAAAATTTCTACAAATACATATGATGATAGCTGTGGCAGTTCAGTAACAATAACAACACTTAAAATTTACTTTAAATTCAGTATCTCAATGAAATGATTGGCAGAGGCTATAAAAATAAAAAGATATAGTATTAAACCTTGTAATCCCCACTAGTCCTCACTAGACATTCAGTCATAAAAGGTGGTTTTAAACAGTTTAGTTCTAAGTTATGTGCATTTAACAATAAACTTGGTTATCACTGAGTAATAATAATCATCTAAAGAAAAACTTTCAAGGAAAAGAATAAATTGTGTAAATTGGTACTTATATGACCCAACTAATGATTTCTGATTGATAATTTCAACACAATTTGACTTGTACAATCTCCAAATGGGGAAAAGTTATACTAAAGTATAGTTGCATCACCAGGAACAGCCTTTTGAAACTAGTTCTAAATATCCAAAACTTTCATGCAAATAGTCAATTTCCCTTTATTTTCATTATATGCTTCCCAAGAATGCCTGTGTTATATTCACTGTCCAAAAGGTATTCTTAGTAGGAAGTTGCAATATGCCTTCCACAATACTTCTAGTATGTAGAAGATTAAATGAAAATGTTAATAAGTTTGACATCATAATTGCTAGTTTTATATCATAAGTTGTAAATTATTAATACAAAAATAATACTGTGTTCATTATACTTTGGATAAAATAACTTGTCTATAAGTATTTTTTGTTTTTAATGCATTGCTGATGCAAATAATTATGTATAAAACTTAGGTAAAAAAGGAAATTTGTTATTACTTTATTACTTTAAAAAGTACTTTTAAAATTATATTTAAATAAATCTGGTCAAACTCTTTGCAAAACATGTTAAATAAATTCTACTTTTTAATACATACGTGCCTAGCTTCAACCATTCCAAGTTAAAGCATTGGTTTAAAAAAGCAAAATAAAGTTGTTTCTGCCTTTGCTTAAATATGATTAAAACGTTATGCACTGATATATATAACAAATATTTATTCATGTGACTTTAGTGTTATCATTATATTAACTTTTATGAAAATTATTCTATTTCTTATACTGAATATCATACATGTAATTATGTATTTTTCTTGCTAACAAATGTTCTTACATTTACATGCTTATTTAAGTATCTTTTCATATACCAATGTCTAAACATAAAAGTGTTTATTGTTGTAAGCTACATTTTCAATGTTTTCCTTCAGTTATTTACTAAAGTGATTTGCTTATATGTTGATGATGATAGATTTAGAAAGTTTATAAAAGTAGTCTTAGAATACCTGAAATGTTCTGTAAATTTTAATAATTGAAAGACTTTGCAAAATATCTAGAAACAGGAATGCAATGTAAATATAAGAAACAGTGTAGCATTGAGTCAGTTTCAGATTTCAGTTCGTTCAGTGATTGAGAAATTGATGAAGTATTCAGATTAGTGTTAGTTATCACACACAGTCAATTAATTAGTCAATTATCTGTGAAATTGTACAATGTTAACTCAATTCACATATGACTACTGTTCTCAGCTCATACTGAATACTGAATTTAAATATGCCTATAGGAGATACAACCAAAAAAAAATGCTGAAAATAAAGACTTAAGTTTAAACTTTCAGTTTGTTAAATCATTTTATTCAACAAAGATGTTTTTATTAACATTTAAAAAGATCTCTTGAACTACTGGGTTACATTAAAAAACAATAATTTTTAGATTGGTTAAAATTAAATTAAAGCCATGGCATTTTCAGCAAGTCGGCTGGGGTCTGGTAAACCTTACAAGTTGTTTTGCCCAAAGCAGGTAAAAAATAAAATTTTGTACTGAACAACTTTTGAAATTCCCAATGCTAACATGCAACAGAGAGTAATTAAAGAGGTAAAAGGTACAAGTACACTATAAGATTACACATTAAAGCATATAGTACACCTGGAGCATTTTGTACTAGGCCCAAAATTAAAAAATAAGCTTTCTAAAATACAAATTATTGTTCAAGTAAAAACTGAAATAAAAAAGATAAGTGAGCCACAAAAAAATTGATGAAAAACAACAAATATGAATAATTTTTCAAAATTGTCTTGACAATTGGCAAAATGCTAACTCTGAGGTACATTTCCTTGATTTATTACAAACTTGTCTTTGTTTTTATGTGAAATAGCACCATGATAATTAACTAACTTTCAAAACAATATACATACACTGAGTGGTCACAAGTACATAGACACTTAATTTTTCGTCATTTAACTGATTTATGCTAACTAAT